CCAGCGGGTGCGGCCCACCGCGCCCGGTGCCCTCCGGCTGCCCCAGGAAACAGCGGGCAAAGGAAACTCCAGTCCAAGCCAGCTTTGGACTGGAGGGTCTCGGCTGACCTCCCCCGCCAGCGCTGGCCCCAGACGAACCCGCGAAGGAAGCGAACCCCCCATGAAGCCAGCGTTGCTTCAGCCTTGGCCAAGAGTGAGGCTAGCACTGCCCACAGTCACTTGCTGCCAGAGACCCAGCAGTATGTAGGTGCTGAAGGAGGTAGTTGCTCAGCTGGGGGATTTCTCAAAAGCATTTCATGAGAAAAATCAGCCCTTAAATGCCCTGAAAGGGAAGAATGCTGCCAGCTTAGGTGCTTCCAGAAAAAGATCCTCCCAGCACCTCTCTGCATCCTTGGGAGAGGATGGGGACCATGAAGAGCCTTGCCTCCAAAATGCCCAGGCCACGTTCATGGGTCAACTTTGGCTCTAAAGTCACCAAAGGTATTTGAAGGTGAAGGTGTTCTGAAGGTGTTTGAAATTCCCTCTGCCCCTGCTGCACATGGGATTCGGGAGCAAATCCAGGCAAAGGGCTGCATTTTTTTTGTGTCCTTCTGCTGCGGAGAAGCCCAGACGTAGCAGAGACGCTTGGCCGGCATGACCAGCGACCAGAGGAAGCAGGATTTGAAGGGCCACTTCTTTTCCTTTGGCTCTGGGGAAACCACGTGTCCTAGATGCAAAGTTAAGACATAAAACTTGCTGTCAATGAACGCAGCTGTGGCGGTGCCAGCCAAGCCTTCACCTAAGCTTTCACTCCTTCCACTTCATTAATAAAGGGGAGGGAAAAAAAAAAAAAAAGGACGGAGCTTGACATCAAAAAAATACAGACTGTGTATTTTAGGCCAGAGTTTCCTGTAACCACCTCTCTCCAGTTCCTTTTCATTCATTTTCTCCATTTTGTCAGTGTGGACCAAGGCAGGTCAAAGGTTTAAGCTTTTTTGGAAAGATTTATTTCCAAAAAAATAAAAATTGGCTAATCTGCACATTTTGTTACCTTCACACCAGACTGGGAAATACATGGTCAGAGCTTAGGGTTGTGTGTGGGTTTTTTTTTTTTTTTTAATGAAAGTGTCTGGCATCCATGACATGCTCTGAAAAAAATACATGTATTCTGCAATGTGTTAAGAAGTATTGCTGGGCTGAGCAGCTCTGTTTCCCTTGTTCTTTCATAGCTTGAAGTCAGTTTGCACATTGCAGCACCAGTAATGGTGATGCTACTCCACTGTTAATTCAGCAGGGTAAAATCTGGTTGTCGCTGAAGCAGATCTGAGAATTTTCTGGTTTTTGTCTGTTTAGCTGAGATTTCTTCTCCCTCTGGCGATTTGTGTAACTAAGACTGCACCCATCTGGGCCTGACATGGGACAAGGTTAATCTTTGAGATAGACAGGTGGGCAGAAAGGGTACATTATAGACCACAAGGCATAGAAGGTAAGGGGAGAAAAGGAGAAAAGGCTTGAAGACTCAGTCAAAAAGTGTTTTGTGGCTGAACTACAGAGGCAGGTCAGAAAACAGAAAATGCAACATGACTACGTCTTCCGCATGCGCCAGCCCTCAGCATTCATGGGGTGATTTCTCTTTACTTTGTCTCCTGTCCAGTGCTGGAACTTCCACTGGATTTTTCTCCCCCTCTGTCTCTGATTTTATTGATTTCTCTCATCTCACAATTAGCAAATAAACACATGAGGTCTGTATAATCACTTCCCAATGAAGCTATTTTCCTGGAAGCTGATTTTAGGGAGGAGAAAAGTGTTAATCCTCTCCAAAGGAAGTCGAAGAGAAGTGATCTCAGCTGATAGCTGCTCCCATCTTCCTCCGCCTTCTCTGTGCCTGTTTGACTGACAGCTGTCAGAAAAAACATGGCAGAAGATGCCTCTGGGCTTGTTTCTGATTCCTCACCACACAGCGTGGCCAAATGCTCGGTTTTCTTCACTCCATGCATTTTGAACCCGAGTCCACAGCATGGACATCTCTATGAATGGGAATCCAGCTGCAGCTCACACCATGGTCTCCAGCCAGAGCAGCCACTGGATGTCCAAACTCTGCTCTGGAGTAGGGTGCCCAACCACTGCTCGTCTCTCACTCCCCTTTGCCCCAAAATGGCATGAGGTGGACGGTACAAGGACCATGACTTTCAGAGGCTGTTGGGGCTTTTGCACGCTTAAGCCTCAGGGCAGTTGGTGTGACACATGGAAAGGTCTACAGATGGGATGCGCATACCTGGAACGTCACCCAGGAAGATCACAGTAATGCCTGGCTGGAGGGATGGCTGCGAGGCACAGATGTGGATGCAGTGCCCAAGGAAGCAGCCCCATGGAGGAGGGAGAGGAGGAGGGCTGGTGGATGCCACCAAGCCATGCGGAGTCTAACATGCAGGGAGGCATGTCTTCATCAGGGAGATCCCTGCACAGCCAGCTCCCCAGAGGATATGCCTGAGCAGACACCAGAAAAAAAACAACCGGTCATCTGCAGGCATCCCATGATGCTGCCTAAAGCATTGCAAAAAGACTGGGAGCCCTGTCACACCACAGCCCGCTCAGGGCCAACCTGGACCACAGCTCTGGTGCTGACCAGCAGGACAAAACCATGGGAGCTCCAGGGTCTTCTGAAACCATACATGAGCTGAGTTGTCCCCTCGAGCGCTTCACCCCATGGAAGCACGCTGGAAGCAAACCGGTGTCTGTCACCATCTCAGCTCTGCAACTTCTTTGCAGAAGATACCTAGAAGTGTCCTCTTCTGCCTCAATCACCATGCAGTCACCTCTTTGCACTGGCTCAGCAATGCTGTGGGCCACTGTTCCTGCATGGATGCTGGGTGGTGAAGAGAAACAGTAATACAACATCTGGACTCAGGACTACACTTCATGAAAGAGCAAGGTGTGGAGAAGCAGAGGGCTGAGTCTTCGCCAGGTTTCTCAGGAGGTTTTATCACAATCCATATGGCTGCAAGTGTGCCCCTCTTTAAGGCTATCCAACGTAAGGTGTGGGGAAAATAGCATCATCTTGATATTCTTGTGCTTATGGATCACGTTTGTCTTCCCATCTCAGTCTTCCTCTGGGAGCCTGTGATCTCCTGGTTACCGTCCAGACCCTACATGTTTTGCCTGGCTGCTGCGGTCCAAGATACTCTCTATAGCTGTTGAAGCCCGATGCTGAAATTCAGCGTATTAAAAGAGATGTTCAAATGAGCCCACCAGACCCAGAAATCCAGGTTGGACTCTGTCACTGACTCATCTTTATGATCACTGAGCACTACCTTAAGTCCTTCACTCACGCTTTTCACCAGCAATGTGAGCACTGAACAGGACTGGGTCAGGAACCATCTCCTAGAAACATGTGATAGCTCTATTTCCCCTCTTATAAATCCTTTCAGAAGTTTGAATAGGCTCAGTACAGATGACCTTGATTTTGGAGAGTGGTAACATGTTTGTAGGATCACACGTATTCCCCAGTTCATTACAGGACCATTGTATACTGCTGGTGGGAGGTGTCCAAGACTCTTTTCTGTTACCTTGTCTGTGGTCAGTGCCAAACATGGCTGGCTGTGGAGATGAAAGGCAGGGGTCCCAAAGAAACATATGCTCCAGAAACATTCCAGAAAAACAGAGCAGATAAGCAACCAAAAATCATTCCTGATGAACAGGACCCAACTGCATATCCATACTCAACCACAGCTGCAGAATCATCATCCATAAGGAGGGGCCTGCTCAGATGCTGGGTGCTCACAGAGAGCTCAGAGCAGCTCATTCCCAGGCAGATGTGCTGGAGGCCTTAAGAGATCTTTCCTACCTCCAGCTGCCAAACGCTTAGAGATAAGGGCCAGTTCCATCATTCTGCTCCAGATTTTGGCTCACCCTCGCTTAAAACCTGAGGCTGCTTTGGGTCTTGGTTCAGATGTGTCCAGTTGCCCCTCTGGCGAAGAAGAGAGAGAGGAGGGTGGGAGGGACTGGCCGTGCAGAAACTTTTCCTCTTGCTGAAGCACACAGTGCTCTCCAGACTCAGGAATGGATAATACTCTAGCATCTGAGTTTCCCTGGCTGGAGTTAGCACATGTGTCAGGAAGAAAGCTCTTTCCCACGTCCTGATGGTGCGAGCCAGGGTTTTAACACCATTGATGCGGGATGGCGTCTGGTTTCTGTCCTTACTGCAATGCAAACCTTGTGCACAGAGCCTTTGCCCTGCACTTTGGCCACCGCTCACACCTGGAGGCACACATTTTCCCTAGGTTTATTAGTTTCCCGCTTTCACCTGTGCTTGTTGCTTTAAGGGAAAAGGCAGATTTGAGCACCACAGTGGCCTGATGGCATACATGAACCTGACTGATTTTTAACAATTTTTGATATGACTGAAGAGTGAGCCACACGAATGGCTCTGGGGAACTGCTCCATCTGTGTTTGCTTCATAGTTATGCCCTGAAGGTCCCTGGGAGATGGATGGGCCCTCCCGAGGACACTGATAGGAGAAAGAGGCTATTCTCCCCACCATCGCTCCAGGTAGCCCTGCCTCATTCGCAAGGAATGATTTGGGCCCTAACACATAGGCCATAGCAGAAGGAATGAATTGGGCCCTAATGTACTGCTGCTCCCAGCCTCCCCTCTCCTCCTGGGAGTCCACCTGCCTGCACAGCCCATGGGATAACTGGGCCCTGCTCGTCAGGGACCAACAGGGCCTCCTTCTTGGCAGCAGAGCTGGAGAGCACCTCCCATGCCCATTGTGGTTTCAGTACCTTTTCTGAGACCTTCTACCAACAGCACTGGCTACTTTGTTCTTAGATGAGAGCCCTGGAGACAAAACAAGTTTCAGTGCAACCACCACCACCTTGGCCCATGGTTGCACCACCCAACCTAGGCTCTGGAGGCAGAAATCCTTTTCCTCACATGCACTATTAGGTAAGACTTTACAATCATTTTCTTCTCACTAGCCCAAACCATAACATCTTTTCCTCTCTTGCTTTGGCTTTTTCTAGCTGTTCAGATCCACATCCTGAAAGCGGAAAAAAATGCTGACTGGTGGAAGTTCACAGTCAATATCATCTCCGTCTACAAACAAGGCAGCAACCGGATACGGCGAGGAGACCAGACCCTGTGGATCCACTCCAAGGACATAGCGTGCAAGTGCCCCAAAATCAAGCCCATGAAGAAGTATTTGCTGCTGGGCAACAACGAGGACTCTCCTGACCAGAGTGGCATTATTGCAGATAAAACCAGCCTGGTGATACAGTGGCGGGATACGTGGGCTCGGCGGCTCAGGAAGTTCCAGCAACGGGAGAAGAAGGGGAAGTGTAAGAAAGCCTAGAGGAAGAGAAGGCAATGGAGCACGCGAGAGAGAGCGAGTGAGAGACTGACTGTGCATGCTGCTTTGTGTAGAACCTGGAGCGGATAGGGCCTGGGATTAGGGACTTTGGGAAGGAAGTCGCATTGCAGTTTGTGTGTGTCGGGGTGGGCTGGGTGGGGGGGGACAGCTGGGAATCACATCTGTGGGGCTGCCGAGTTTGCACCTCATATTACAGGAGGGGAAAAAAAAAAATCACACACACAAAAATAAAACAAACCATTGCAAGAGGAGGGTGGATGTGGGCGTGCAGCACCTCAACCGTGGTGGGAGTGCAAACAGTTCCCAGTTCCCCCTAGCTTCTTTCTGCCCCATTCGCTGAAGAAATCAGAGACACCAAACTGCCTTAAAACTGCTAATATCTGCTAGTTCCAAAGCATAGAGACAGGAATGATCAAGCCTGTAAGAAACTAATCAACGGCATTGCTGGAAATTAACCCCTCCCTCCCCCCAAAAATACATATTCTCAGCTTAGACTGAACGAGACAATTATCATAGAGGAAACTAAACAGAGACTTACCACTGAAGACAGATCTGAGGAGCAACTAATATAGGTTATTTAAAGACTCTTCAGTATATGATAGCTGTAACGATCACCCACCGTACAGTACCTAAGAGACAGGACGAGGTCTCCAGCCGTACTGATGTGCTGATCCCATAGCACCAGGTTAACCAACCATACGCACAAAATGGTGCAAAAGAAGAGACCACGCTAGTTACCGACTTCCACATGGGCATAACTTGGGGAACAATTCTCTGCTTCAGTCCCCATGTTTCCAAGGACAGCTGCACACTGCTGCACACCAGCCACTCATTGCAATACATGCACTGAAGGAGCTTTAGCCCATGGGACTCCTCGGTCCCCCTCCAATTCACAATCAAGTTAATAACCAGGATGCCCAGGGAAGCACCCAGACTTTGCAGAAAAGTTGGCCTCCAGTTCCTGTAGGTGCCCTGGAAAATCTCACCCCTAATGTAACTGCAATCTCTGACTCTCCACTCTGGCCATCCCCAAGACCTCCTTTATGGATTTGGTCCTTTCTGCAGCTGTCAACAAACTGAGGAGCCCTCAGATCGGCAATCCATGCAGAAGATACGGAAGCCCTGGATGGCAGCAGTTTCACTTCCAAACTCAGCCAGCTCTCCCCAAACCAGCCCAGCCCAGCCCAGCCCTCTCTCCCGTAACCTGGCCAGTCTTTACAGATTCCCACATCTCTGCATGAGGTGGTCAGCCTTCGCCTCCATGGGGGAGTGGAACAGTGGGTGCCAAGCTCCTGCTGGCCCCTATGGCTGTCCCCACAGGCAGCAGGACCAGCACAGAGGTCCACATCTTGGCTACATTACAGCCCATGCAGGGCAGAGAGACCAGCCCCAAGGGAATGGGTCTCCATCGGAGACCAGATGAGCGAGATTTGACTCACCTAGAGCTCCCCAAACTAGATCTTCCACTGGGGGTGAAAAAAGCAAATCTACCAGCAGAAAATGTAATTCCTAATCTCTGATCCCTAATGAACTGTGAAGGCAGGGACTGCTCTCGCCTCCATCTCACACCCTGTGAACCAGCACCTGAGGGTGGGAGCAGCTTTCCCCAGGGCACTTTAAGGGCAAACCTGGCTCTTGGATTATTTGTCACCAGAAAAAGTCAGATCAGTGCTGCTTTGCCTTGCCTTGGTGGCAGGCCCTTCTACTTCCACATAGGTCCATAAAAAGCAGGGGAAATCTGAGTGCAGGGAGGGCAGACCAGGTACCTGGATGAGAAGCAAACATTAGTCCCTATGAAAAGCAAAAACCTCCCTGATATTTTTCCTTTCAGGAAACTTGGAAACATCTATTTTATGACATTTTCCAGTGGTTTTGCCTTGTTTTATAGCAATTGACAATATTTATATAATGACATAAACTACCATAAAGCAAGGCAGCCATGTAAATAGGTGTAAAGTGGAGGGCTCCCAGGGAAGCACAGGCCAGCGCCGGGCTGCTGGAAGACATGGCACAGAGGGGACTGAGAGCTGCTGAGCCTCCCCTGCAACTACAACGGCCCTCAGAGATGGATTTGGACATTAGGGTTGAAATCCCATCCTGGATATCAAGTGATCCACCAAGTCACTTTCTTGCTTAGAATAGACTCATTTTACCTTATTTAAGAGCCCAAGAAGAATCACTAGTTTTGTAGGCAGAGGAACACGTGCACCCAAGTCACCGAAGGGCTTCTGAAAGATAAAATCTGACCTTAAGTGTCTCAGCGGAGATATAAAGCCCCCAAGCTTGGCTAGGCAGCTCTCCTCCAGCTAGGACTGACTGACGCTAGGTAGAGCCTGCGCCGGCTGGAGACAGCTTGTCCTCAATTAGCCATGGTGACCTGAAACCACCAGCGCCCCACAAGCCCAAGGTCCCTTCAGCCTGCGTTGGTGGTGCAGACTCTCGCAGGTCCGCTCCATGGACACCCACAAGGCTTGTTCAGATGGACAACCACCTTCCAAACAACCCATCAGAAATATCCAGCCCAGCAGAGCAACATGGGAAAACGTGGAGAGGAACATGGAGGCCTAAAAACAACTGAACCCAACCCAAAGTCAGTTCTCCCAAGGCCTCCAGCACTCTCCTGCACAGGGAAGGCAAGGCCGGGGAAGCCAGGGGACTCGGGATCTACCCATATCTGGACACCCAACGCCCTCTGACTCCCTCTTCTAAGCACATTAAGCCTCGACATCCCCCAGTAACCGCAGCAACGGCCACAAGCCCCAGCCCTCTAACCAACTTCATCATTTTGGGAGAAGAAACTCTATCCACTTCAAGCAGGCAATCGTCCACCTTGCCAAACTGCCAGAGCCCAGGGACCCTCCAGGCACCAACAAAAACCAACACATGGGAAGGAAACCAAGGTGCTTGTACAGTTAGCCTGAGATATAAAACAAATTAGAGCTCAGAGAATCTGTCATAACCAGAGTGACTATTGCAGATGTAAAGCCCCCCTGGCCCCAGCCCAGCAGAACCCCATTCCTTGATCATTGTTGGAGTTTTGTGCTTTCCAACCAGTCTAGAGAAGCTCCTTTGTTCTGTCCGCGGTTAACCAGCACCCCCAGTAACAATGACCTGCAGCAACAGCTGGTGTAGCCCATCCACAACTGTACTCCTCCTGGGTAAAGGCAGAGCAGCCCCATTTACGAGGTGTCTGGGGAAGCAAATCTTCCTTGCAGCCACCTCAGGACACCTCCTGGGGGGGGGATCGTTGGCCTGTCACCCAAACAGGATCAAGATGTCACCGTTGAACATCACCCTCCATAGCCAGGGCTGCTGCTCTGTTGGAGGTGAGCACTAGGCAACCCCTTATAACCACTGAGGAATCAAAGTATCCGTCCATCCTCCCAGGGTCACCCCAACTCAGTGGCTTTGGCCAGCAAAGTCACCTGCCATGCTCCCGAAGAGCACAAGTTGATGAGAAACCTTGGTGAGAGGGGGCCCAGTTCCCCGGTGGCCCAGAATGGGATGGGACATGGGGTCATGGACAGAGGCTGCAACTAACTCCAGGACACGCTGGCCACCAGCGTGCAGCCTCAAGGCAGGTCTGAAAACTAGAGGTGCTGGTAGGAACCGTAACAGAGCTTGTAACAGGGTAAAAGGGCTGCGGCACCTTTCAAGTGAGTTCGGAAAGCAGCTGAAATGCCAAAACAATCATCACTCAACGGTAGCACCTGACTGAAGTCGTTTTGTCTCATTTTTGTTCGTTTCGTCATGTCCGTCCCCTCTCCCTGCACACCTGCCTTCTCTCCCGTTACGCAGCCCCGTCACAAAACCTGTGTTCCTTTCGGGTTGTTTTGTTTTTTTTATTTCTGTTAATATCTTGAATTGTAAATGTTGTTTAGTTATGACCATTGCATACTGCTTTGGGCGATGTTTCTTTACAATGCATACTAATATATTATGGTTATTATATATGAATATATTTAATGACATGTGAAAAAGTTGTGGATTTTCTTATCGTTTTTCCAAGTTTGTTTTCTTTTTTGTTCCTTTTCTTCGTTTGTTTGTTTGTCTGTTCATTCTGTTAGATTGGCTGTAATTGAACCAGAAGGAGCTTGTAACTGTTCAGCACCCACTCAGTAGAACTAAAGTCAAAAACCAGTTGAATAAACTCTTGTAAACCATAACGAGCTCCAGTGGTCTCTGCTTCCTCCCACCCAAAGCCTGAGGGATGGGGACCTGCTCCTGCAAAGCTAAGGGTGCTCCATGTCCTCAGCAGTGTGGTGGCGGTCTCCTCTTGGCCTCCCACCAAACGTCCCTAATGGTCACTGCAAAAAATCACTGCTTGCAGGACTTCCAGCCAGGCAGGGAATGAGGGGAAGCCGTTGGCATCAGGAGAGCTTCCAACCCAATGGCCAAAGCAAAGCCCTGCTGGTTGCACCCCTTGGCTAAGCTGGTTTTCAGCGCGGTGCCCTTTCCACTCCTGTGGCCACCCAAAGTCTCTGGGGTGGTGGATTTTTAAGCCACGTGGTGAGCAAAGGCGAGAGCAGCAGGGAGGGCAGAGCGGGCCTGGGCTCTGTCCCCATCACTAGCTGCTCCCTTGGAAGTGGCTGCCACTTGAGACCAGGCAAAGATTAATGTTAAAAGACAAGCTAGAAAGCCTGAGGCAGAGGAACCAAGGCGGCAAAACACTTCCAGAGGGAAAACTACAGGCAAAAGGTCCTGCAAGTGGCAGAGGGGTCAGCCCGCATGACCCACGCTCTTAATGTCACTGAGAATTTATTAATTCGAAAACATCTCAGAGGTCAGAAATCTCAGATCTTTATTGCAGCGACAAATGGGTCAGAAACGCACCCACCGGCGCTCCGGAGCTCCCGCCTGCAGCTTTACAGAGAAAGCAAATGGATTTCCCAGATCGCTCCGGCTTTTATTCCTCTTGACGCGCAGCCGCTCCTCCGAAGGCAGCGGTGGCGGCTCTGAGAGGCGGGTGGACTGGCCTGTTCCCAGCGGAGGGCCGTACGCAGAGCGCGTGCTCTTCCCGGGGCCCCCGGCAGCAGCGGGGCTGCGCTTCGCGAGTCGGCCCTTTTCGGCGCTGCTGCACAGAGCTCATCAGCGCAGCACAGATCAGCTCTCCCTGCAAGCAAGGGCATGCAAAGCGGCACACCGGCCTCTCAGGATCACTTTTATTCTCACCTAAAGAGCTAAGAACGTCTTATGAAGGCACTTGGAGAAAGAGGTGCCTGCAGCACCCGGCAGACCTCCCCCGAGAGTTTGCGTTTTGCGTTTGGTCCTGAGCTGATGATTTGTCCTTTTACCAGAGAGGAAGTAACAACTGGAAACACACAAACTCCAGAGCATGTTCTCACTCGACAGAAATAAAGTAGAAGCAAGGGAAGGCAAAGCCCAGGACCTCGCCGGGGTGCACGAGTGGGACGAGCAGGACCTTTGCCAGGCGAAGCCGCTGGTGTGCAAGGCGGCACGGCACGGGTACGCATCTTTAGCAGCAACACCGAGCAGTTGCAACACGCAGCTTGAGTGCAATTTGCCCCATGCCTGGAAATCAGAGTAACCCACACCAAACTGCGAATGCAGTGGCCTCCAATTAACGGTGCTTTTCACCCTCGCTTGCTCAGAAACAATACTGAACTGCTCAGATATTTTAACCTTCCTTTTGTGGAGCAGCGAAACAGGAAAAGGTTTCCACACACATCAGAGTGCTGCCAAATTCGCTTCTTTCTTTAAGAAAGTCCTTACCCACACGACATATTAAACGTTACCTAAAGGGCAAACCTACGACTCTCTGTTAGATATTTCAGCAGAGCAACTGCTGGTGTTTCTACCTTTCCCATGCACGACAGGCAGCAATAACGTGTTTGAGGATGCAACAAATCAGAAAGCATCTTTTAAAGCTCCTATCCGAACAGAGTTCCTGTGTCACATTGATCAGGATAAATTATGCACCCATTCTGCATGCCGTGGGAATTCAAACAAGTCCTTAATTCCCTCCGTAAACTACAGCTTTAATTAGAAGCCAAAGTCCATATTCTCATCTCTAAATTGCCCGGTATTCTCCTGCTGTCACTGAAGATACACGAGGCTGCAGTGGAGCAGAGAGAGCGCAATCGCGCCGCAGGGCTCGCACAAAAAGCCTCCTAATGAGAAACAATTCCAGGCAGATTTTCCAGTTTGATTCCTCCGCACAAGCACTGCTGGAACGCACAAGTTTTGAACACATCTCCAAAGCCGCACGCTGTTTGTTTCCAGCTGGAGCAGCCTTGCTTGAAGCTCCATTTCTGCTTGGAGATTAAGCAATGCACTAATCAAAAACCTGTTGTGTCATTTTGAAAAACACGAGAAAGTAAAACTCTTTTTTTTCCCCCTCCTCCTTTGAAGGTTGTAATATGAAGCATCTTTCCAAGCAAAAGCAAACAGGCACAGCCTGAACAACCTGGATTGAACCAGACTTTTAAAGGCTTCGAGAAAGATTTTCTCCAGCAAAGCAGGACAGAGATCCTGGAAAGCACTCTGCTCCTTCTCAGTGATGGGCATCATTTTTTTTGCCTAGCCAGCAGGAA